TCCAGCCATATTCTTATTAAAAAAACAACCACCAGCCCTAACATCGGCCTGACCAATGAAGAGTCCTGGGTTCGATTCTAAGTCAAAGGCCCACACCTGAGTTTCAGGTTCCCTCCGGGCCCCAATCAGGCAGGCACTTGCAAGGGGCAACCAACTGATGTGTCTCCCTCAACATAGATGTTTTTGCCCTCTCTATTCTGAACTCCCTCCCTGCTACCCTCTCTAAAAATCAAATGCAGAAGGGAGGGAATAAAATCTGCTATAGAATTCTTAAGAGAAAGGGATTTTGCCCTGAAGCCAGATAATGTACATCTCACAGCCTACCATCACATTCGATGCCTACTGTGCATGTGATAAGCTTTAGATCCTCTGGGACTACTTGGTTAACTTTTTTGCACCAGATAATGATTTTGTAACTGTCCCCTTAAAGTTCTAGATTTATGCTGTTAATTCAATTTGCCCCATTATGCAACTGGGGTGTCCTGGACCTAAAATGAATCAGTGCTTCCTAGGTGTATTTCTGTAAAGACATTAACCTTTCACTAAAGAAAAAAGGATTTGCTCTCAGAATAGCTGGCTACCTATACTTCAAGAAATAAGTCAGTGCGAGGTGCATGAATTTCAAACTCTATGTGATTATGTACACATACACAGTTAACTTAGGAGATGGTGAAATCTTCCATCTGAAGAACAGTAAGAGTACTAAATCCTATCTAATAAAAGAATATGCAAATTAGCCATCACTCTGCCACACTCACAAGTCACACCCACCAGCCAATCAGGAGCAAGTATACAAATTAACCCAACCAAGATGGCTGCGGCCACAGAGTGAGCCAGAGGCTTGGGTTTCCCCAGCAATGGAGGAAGCCAAGCTTTCCACACACCCTGGGCAGCAAAGGCCTCCACTCAAGGCTACAAAGATTCAATTATAGGAGATAAATAAATCCCAACAAAAATGGCTGCAGCCATGGGGCAAGCAGGAGGCTTGGCTCTGCTCAAGGCTACAAAGTTTCAATAATAGAAAATAAATAAATCCCAGATAGCAGGGTCTCCACTTGGGTCTCTGGGGGTCGTGGCCAGCCTGCAAACCACCACAGGTCCCTAGCCCAGGCCACCCTATGCCCCAAGGGAACCCCCACCCTGATCCAGGACATCCTTCAGGGCAAACCAGCTGGCCCCAACCCGAGCACCAGGCCTCTATCCTATCTATTGTAATAAAAGAGTAATATACAAATTGACCATCACTCCACACACAAGATGGCTGCCCCATGTGGCCGAAGATGGGCACCACAAGATAGCCAGCAGGGAAGGGCAGTTAAGAGGGATCAGGCCTGCAGGGGAGGGCAGTTAGGGGTGAAAGGCCTGCAGTTGAGGGCAGTTAGGGGCAACCAGGCTGGCAGGGGAGCAGTTAGGCATCAGGCTGGCAGGGGAGTGTTTAGGGGGTGATCAGGCTGGCAGGCAGAAGCAGTTAGGGGCAATCAGGAAGGCAGGCAGGCAAGCAGTTGGAAGCCAGCAGTCCTGGATTGTGAGAGGGATGTCCGACTGCCCGTTTAGCCCTGATCCTACCAGGATCAGGCCTAAACGGGCAGTCGGACATCCATCGAGGGGCCCCAGATTGGAGAGGGTACTGGCTGGGCTGAGGGACACCTCCTTCCCCTGTGCACGTAGTTCGTGCACCGGGCCTCTAGTACATAATAAAATTCCTACTGCTAGAAGGAAAGAAAAATGAAGACTGGCACTGGGAGAGGATGAGAGGGTTAGAATTATAAGTGCTACATGGCTACAGTGGGGAAAAAAAGCAAAGGAGTTAATAGTTTAAAGGGGTCTAGAAATGGCTTTGATGAACATGCAAATGCTCTTAAACCAAAAGATGGGGGAAAGACAAGATTACAAAAGTAAACAATTCAAATTATGTGGAGAGAGCAAAAAAGGAAAGTGGGGTTTCTAGATTATTGCTTCAGAAAAACAATTCAGCAAGGAAGCTAAAATTGACCACAAATCTAAGTTTGTTAACTTATGAAAAGTGCTCATTTTTAGAAAAAAAATGTTCTCAGCTCTGATCTAAACTAAGAAACTTTCATATTATTGTTGGAAACAGACCATACATTTGTCTAACATTCACACATTGCATGATGCATTTGAGTTAATATATCTACTGATAAGATAATAGCTAGATTTCAAATCTTGTGGCATAGAACCTCAAATATTTCAGAAGAAATAAAGCATTATTCCTAAACACTGGCAACAGTATTTCTACAATAGAAAGTATGCAGATGTTCCAAAATGCTTTCAAACCGGGAATAATTATGTGTGCTGACACTTATACTAAATTCTTTTCATTTGCATATGAACTCAACTGTGTCCCTTTGTCTCCTATTTTAAGAGACTTCCCAAGATAAAAACATTGCCCTAATTTTTTTTTAAAGGACTGTCCAAATGATGAATATCTTTGATTGCCTTAAAACCAAGTAAACAAGCTCTGGACTTGAACCTAGAAAAGAAAATTTTCAAATATTCCCTTCCCTTCATGTCAGTTGCTACCCATGACCTCTGTTGAGATGTTCACAACAAAGGTCACAGGGCTTCCCTCCCCCTCCCAAAGAATTAATGCAGTGGGGAAAGGACTGACACCCACTGCGTTATTATTCTCAATCTCTATTGTAAGCAACCCCATGATCCCAAATTGTACTTGTACATAAACCTACTAAAAGTTTAGATTGGAATAAGAAAAGTGGAGGAGATAGGTTTTTTTTTTAATGGGGTTTAAAAATCTGTGCCAGCAAACTAAGCTTCCTTTTCAAACTAACTTGGAGTTTTAAATATTAAGAACAGTCTCAATGTTTGTGTATGTTTTACCCAATCATAAAGCACATCTTTATTCTCTCTAATTAGGGTTCAAATATATTGTTAGGGAGTACCTGGGCCATAATTAAGAGTTATATTAGAGAAAGATACATTTTATTAGGCTTGAATGCTTTCTGGATCAAAAACTACATCACCATTAGGGCATTGCTAGTATATAATACATAATTTCCTTTGATGATCTTTGAACCAGAAAAGTCAGATGCTTACAAAGACAGTGATCTTCTCAACAATTTTTGACCACCTTCAAAATCAACCAATATTTAATTTTAGCTTAATAAAAAGCCACACTAAATTTCCTAACCACTTTACCATGTTACGCAAACTGGGTTGACAAACACCGTATTATGTGTCTCGCAAGTCAATTCACATGTGTTAAATTCCAGGGTTTAGCAATAGAAAAACCTTGCAATTTTAGATGGAAGTATTTGTTGAACCCCTTGAGAATGAATATAGTAGAATACATAATTCATGTCTTGGTTAGAAATCAGAAGACCTAAGAATAATATAAATGCATACTTATAAAGAAAGTTTCAAGTTCCTTCCAGGTCAGTGATCCGTAATGTGTGGCACTATATAATACTTCACATGTTAAGGTTTTGTTGGAACTCCGATTGTCATTCTACTCATCACCCACCCTCCTCAAGGAAGCACTGCACAATAAACAAGGGTCATTTTCCTTACAGCACTGACATAGGACACATACACACACACACACACACACACACACACACACACATATAACTCAGACCCAAAAGGCTAAAGACAACAGAAAAGCTCAAAGACTTCCAAAGTGTAGATTTCCCTTTCCTAATCACTCAGGCTTGTCAATGCAGTGAATGATTTACATGTGAATGCCATCATCTTCACCTAAGCCGGCCTGGGAACTGAAGGTTGAAAAATACTGCTGTTAAGATTTCAGGCCTAAGCTCCACTATCCTTCAGGAGAAAGAAGACAGGCCCAGGCCCAGCCCCATTAAAAAGTCCACATAAAACCAGCCACTCGGTCTCCTCGGGTTTGGATCTCTGGGAAACAAAACAGTCAAGCTTTCTTGGGATTTGGGAGTCTGACCTGAGCACCCACAAGACCATGGGAGTCAAGTCAAGTTGGCAAAGAGGCACACAGTTTCAAGAAAGCAAAGGTTCTTCTTTTCAATTCCAAGTCCCCAAGACACTTCAGGCCACAATGCTCCCTTGAAATAAATGACAGCCACAACAAAGGCGACCTTTGCAAGCCCAGATAGCACTCTGGAACTTCTATGCTTCCTAGGGCCAAAGAACAGCCAAAACCCACGAAAGGTTAAGGCGACCCAGCACCCATGATCTCAATTAAAAAAAAAAAAAAAAAAAGGTAGGTGTTTGGGACAGGGGATAAAAACAAGGAAAGTTCTAAGGGTTATTTTGCTGGTAGCCAGGCCAGATCAGTTCTAACCAAAGCACATCAGTCTAGTGAAGCCATTAAAAAAAAAAAAGAAGAAGAAAAGAAAATCAAGGTCACCAGTAGATCCCCCGTTTCCCCTCGCTCAGTGCTTTTTTTTGCAAGAAATGCTTATAGCAGCTTCCCATATGCCATGCCAGGACGGGCAGTGCCAAGCCTCCACTTTTTAAACCTTTAGGGAAGGTGGGAAAGTCAAGCCAGACTGCTGGGCTAGGAAAGTCAAGAGAAGGAGGGAAAAAGATCAAGTTTCAAAACAAAAGGCTCCACTGAGAACTGAATGTCAACCCTTTCCCAAGTCCTAGCCTCCCAGCCCACTAGGCTGGGCCTTGGATTTAAAAAAAAAAAAAAAAGGAACTCAAGGAAAGTCGGATAAGAAGACCCAGCTCCTGGTGATCCCCAAGAAGAATATTTTGCACAACCACTTGATGCGGGTGGAGCTATCCACCCCGCCACCCCCACCCTCTCACCCAGGAACACAGGGAGGCTTAGAACCGCAGTCATCTATCTGCCCCAGGTCCCCGGGCAGAGCCTAAACTCCCTTTCCCCTCCGGGGCAGGGCGGGCCTGGCACCAGGTGGGCGCCGGGCGAGGCGAGGGCCGCGGGGCCCGCAGGACGCCGCCCCTGCCCGCGGGGGACCCGGGATTGCGGCTGGAAAGAGAGGGGGGCCCCCCCAGCGCTCGCTCCACGCCCCGGGCCCTACCTTCCTTGACGCCCGGCAGCTTGGACTGGTCGATGCTGACTTCAGCCATGTCGGCCCGGGGTCTGGGCGGCCCCAGGCCACCGGCTTCCCCGCCGCCGCCGCCCCGAGCGCGGCCCCGCGCGCACCCGCAGCGCCCGACGCGGCGCAAAGTCCGGCGGCAGCGCGCGGCCCGCGGGAGGGAGGGCGAGGCCGGGCGGGTGCGGGCGACAAAGGCGGAGAGAGACGGGGTCCCCCCCCCTAAACGTCCCCGGCAGGCGGCCCAGCTGCCCCGCCGCAACCACCTGCTCCCACGCCCCCGGCCCGGGCTGGTCCTAAATCCCCGGCTCCCGGAAATGGGCTCGCGCCGGCCAGTACGGCGGGGGAGAGGAGACAGAAAGGCGGGCGGGCGGGGAGGCGAGGGGAGGGGAGTTTGCAGGTCTGAAACCGCAATTGCAAGTGGCTGGCGAGCGGCGATGGGCTCCCGCGGCCGCCTCCCCGCCGCCGTCTCCTTTGTGCGGGGTGACGCGCCTGAGGCCGGGAGTGGGGGGCCCCCTGCGCCCCCGGACCCGCCTGGCTCCCACCCGAGGGTCGCGCGTCTTTGGGGCGGGGGGGGGGGGGTCTGTGTCTGGAGGGCCTCAGCGGAGGGCCGCATGGGTCATCAGAATAGAATCGTCACTGTCAGCATTCTGGGGCTGAGATTTCCGCAGATGCTTCCTGTGTGCTTTTCTCTCTCTCTCTCTGCACTCTTTGCCTCCTGGGATTAGAGGAAAGAGGATGCATGTGCATTTAAAATAAAAATAAATCTCTAATACAACTAGAGAGCAGCTGATGGAAATCTGGGCCAATGCACACCAGCTGGGGGGACTGAGTCATTCATTCATTCAAAACGCTGGAATGTCTATCAAAGGCGAAGGGAGGCACCGCGAGGCTGATAACACCGCGTGTCAGAAATCTCTCTCTCCCCCGTGGCACGTCACACATTGGACTAGACTGCCATTGTGACTTTTGTCTCCCGGAAATAGGCAACATCTTCTGTGCGCCGTCTCCTGGCAACGGAATGCGCTCTCTCCATAGGAAACTGCCTCAGGAGTGGCTCCTCTCCCAAGCTGGGGTAATCATAGAATCTCTGGCCTCTGCCACTTTTCCTTCCTCTCCCACCCACACACTGTCAACTAAGGTTGGGTGTGGGTGACCCAAGACAGGTCAAGCAGAATGCCTGCCTAGGGTTGTTACATGAACTGGGACAGATAAACATCTGTGGGGAAGGTGTGTCCTCACTAATAGAAAGTGAAGCTACAATGAAGACAGTAAGGAAGATAAGAGAGATGAAGAGGACATATTCCGAGGATACCACAGTAGCAAGCCAGAAGGTCCCTGGAGCAGCTGGGGTTCCTGCAGGTCCTGGACTCTGGAATCTACCATTTAAACTAATAATTTTACTATCTTTAACAGGGTAAAAGATGGTTTTTCTGCCACTCAGCTCAGAGTCCCAATATGAGAGGCCACATGGAAGAGATTGTGTTTGGACCTGACATTGAAAAAATAAGCAGACCTTAAACGAGCAAACATTTAGGAGAAGACTTGCTGAGCCGGGGGGTAGCAAACTATGGCCCACAGGTGAAATCCACCCCATTGGGTTTGAATGGCTGCTTTTTATGTGTTTAACTGGTCACGTTTTAAGTGATCATATAGATAAAGCATAATATTTTCAATGTTGCCACTTAGGTCTCAAAGTCTACAGTATGTATTATTGGACCCTTTTCAGAAAAAAAGCTTAACAATCCCTGCGCTAGACAGAACACCCAGTAACATGTGTTACTAGGAAAGAGGTAACATTTTTAAAAGGTACTTTTGTGGGGATATTTAAGTCCCCTGCTTTCTAGTGACTGTTTTGTTTTTTTTTTAACTTCTTGTGGTCATAGAGTGTATTGTATTTTCTGTTTCCCTTCTCAAATCCATTGTCCACTTCTCTGTCATGCTTGGCCATGGGAGGCTCACATTTATGAAAACATGACCAGGGCCTCCTTGCCTTGTGGCTTCCTGTTGAGTTCCACCAAGGCAAAGCACTGGCAGGAGATCAAAACAAGAGAGGAGAGAGATGTCAACTACATACTCCATTCCCCTCCCCCGATGCTAGGCTAAAAATTTGGCCATACAGTGTTTTGGGGTATTTGTTTATTTGTTTGTCTTTTAATACAATACCTGTCTAGAGGTCTCTTTTCCATGGTTCCAACTCTCATGGGTCTCTAATATCATTTCCTTCCAGTGCCCTTTCAGGCCTAAAATGGTAATGGCTTTTTACTCACCCAGCTTCCCTTAATGGTACCCACACCCCTCTAAATAGTCCCTTCATTGTGTTCTTTTCAGTTAAGTCATATTGAGTGTGGTTTTTATTTCCTGTCAAGACGTAGACTGATATCATAAGAAATGTCAAAGAGTTGTTGCTTTGTTTTCCTAAAAATTGGCTCTCATTTCTTATGCTCTCTGTAAGGTCATAAGACATATTCACCTACTCATATGATATCTACTTCCCACTTCCCTAAACCCATTCCAATCATACATTTTGTCCTCATCCATCCAAAGAGGTTGTTTTTATTGGCATTAACAATGACCTCCGCGTTGCCAAATTGAGAGGTCAATTCTCAGCCCTTCTCTTACTGGCTAATTATTACCATGTAATAGCTATGATCCTACAGGCCTTTTTGAAATGTTTCTTTCTTTCTTTTTTTTTTTTTCTTTTTTTTGTATTATTGTTTATCTCATTTATCCCCCAAGATTATTCTATACCATTGCTACATTGTTAAAAAGTACCTAAGCCAATGGAAGTTCGATTTGGGGATTTTTTGAACAGTGGTATCTGCCAATTTTTGGACATATTTATAGACCAGAAATTCCACCCAAAATCTCCCTATTGGTTTATAAAGAAAGTAATCCTGAAACCAAATTCATATATATATATATATGTGTGTGTGTGTGTGTGTGTGTGTGTGTGTGTATACATATATATATATATATATATATATATATATATACTTATATATATATATATATATATACATTTGTCAAAAAGTAAGTATAAAAAATGTTATGAAACCTGCTCTGAAAACTTAATGAAGTCTCAGTAGCTTATATTTTTATGGGCTCTGACTGTATGGTTCATAAGAGAATCATGCAAACACAGACATTATTTTGGAATCATGCTTTGGGCACCATTACAAAAAATAACATATGACTGACATCTAATCAAAACACAAATCAGAAAATAATAAAATTACAAGTTTAAAGTAATAACAGTTTCATGGACACTGGCAGAAAACAACATTTCTGAGTTAAAGACTAAAGTCCTTTATTACTCACAAAAACAGCAGTGGATAGAGCATCAACATTTTTGCCAGTTCCCCAAGTCCCAAATCACACAGGATAATGCATACAGGGCCCGGCGACTCTTTCATACTTAATGAAGTGTGTTATAGGAGAAGAACCTGGTGCTTAGGGATCCATCCTCTTGACCTTTGCCTGGATGGGAGATGTTATCTTAAACTGTACTGTAAACAAATCTACCATTTGCTCTTAAGGGACACGTCTTAATCTTTCAAAGTTGTTTTCTAAATAAACATCCTTTGAAAGATAATCAGTCTAGAACAAAAGAAGTCAGTGCTCCTACTCACAAGATATGCTGAAATGTGAGATACCCATTGAGAATTGACTCCCAATACTGAATTGGACAATAAGTAGAGAATTCAGAAAATATGACAAGGCAGAGGGGTTTTTGGATCAGGTAGTTAATTGGATAAAGAAGTGGCTAGAAAGATACAAGTTAGTTTAACAAGGTCTATTTTTATTTATTCCTCTCAGTGATAAGAATGTTATTTTTTTCTCCTGGTATAGGGAGGACATGTTTCATTTGGGAGTTCAATCTCCTGCTTTCAGGGGGAAAAGGGGAGGTCAGAGAGTCATTATTGCACCTGCTGTTTTTCAAGTATCTTTAGCTCAAAAATCCTTACCGTATTTTCCGGGGTATAAGATGACCCCCTAAGCTTACAGTTAAAACATAGGTTTAGGCCTATATTCGCTGTATAAGACTACCCCCCACTTCCGAGCCAACACCAGTTCTTTTTTTAATAGACCGCCTCTCTGACTCTGGCCAATCTGAGCAGGCTTTTTACTAGAACACAGTGTAGCTTCGAGTACAGAACATGTATAATTTGCATGCATAAAAAACCTGCTTGGATTGGCTGAGTTAGAGAGGCGGTCCGAGCAGCCTTGCAGTGATTGGTGCGGGATCGAGTTGGAAAATTCATTTAGCGGCATATTGAGATGTTTTTCGGGATATACTAAGCATATAAGAAGATCCCCGATTTCGGTTGACCTTTTTCGTTTCAAAGTCGTCTTATACGCCGGAAAATACAGTATGTCAAAGTAGCATATTTTGAGGTGGCATCTTCTGCCATGCTTCAGTCCCCTTCAATAAAGCATTGGCATGTAATTTTGCCTCTGGTTTCTTTCTTTCTTTCTTTCTTTTTTTTTTTTTTTTTTTTTTTTTTTTGCTAAAGGATACAGTGTACTAGATAGGACATGGAATGTATGTGGAACATGGTCAGCAAGAAGACTGTAGAGATAGACTGAACAAATTTCCATGTCAAGCTAAGGATTCAGTGTAAGCTTAGGTTCCAAGAATCAATGTTTCTGTATTCACATAGTGTGGTAGGAACAGAAGTCTGCATCGATAATGTGACTCAGTTCCTGTCCAGGCATTCATTAACTAATTAACCCTGGGAGCCAAGGAGTCTGATTCTCTCTTGTCACATAGTTTCTATGAATCTCTTTCATTTAATTAGGTGGGTTGCACTCTCGTTCCTGTCAGGCCCATCTTTCATGCGCTAGGGAAGAAAGGTCTGCCAGAGGTGAACCAAAGTGTTTTCGGGGAATTGATTAATGAGAAATCCACAGCAAATTCAAGCATGCAAATTTCCCCTTCTTAGCAGAGGTGACTAGTTAGTGCCCAAGCAACTTAAGAATCCCCAAACAGGTCATCTGTACTTTTATCAGTATCACTATGATGCTTTAGGCAAGTTATGAAACTAACATGGAATCTGGTTTCTATAATATGTTTCTGACAAATTTTGGGGGAGGAGGGGTGGAGTTTAAAACAAGAATAGATATCAACTAATAAAATACATGGCAAATAGATTATTTGCAAATTTTAAAATGTTCTATGTTTAATCATCATTATCCTCAATTTATAGATGAAATCAGTGAGCAAACTCAATATATCACTGAACTTAACTTGTGCTTTGTAGCTTTTAAAGCAATGCAGTCTTTCTTTATCTTATAGGGAAACTGAGGAAAAGTATAAGGGACATAAACATACCTAAGTTTGGAGAATTTCTTATGTACAATGGAGCTTTGAGATTATAAACAAGATGTGAGAATTATATTCACATGGTATTAGAGATGTCTTAATTTGCTTTCTGCAGAGGCACACCTTAAGACAAGGATTCAAGTACAAGTAGTTTATTTGGGAGGAAATACCAGGAGACATTGATTGGGAGAATACAAGTAAGCCTGGGAAAGAAAACTAGCCAATAGAGTCTATTATGTGGGAAATTGGAGCATAAACTAAACTACTGGGGAACTTGGAGTGACAATGAAGAACACAATTCAGAG